ATTCAGTAGCTGAAGAAAAGGTTTTTTGACAAATAGTTTTGAAACAACTGAAGATTAAAGGGGAAATAAGTAACCTCAATCCCTTCCTCATTCAGTACACAAAAATTAATTCTAGATGGACTGTAGACCTAAGTGTCTATGACAAAAATTCCAGAATAAAGCTCATAGAAAAAACTATAAGAGGAATATATGTGACCTTGGTTAGGCAAAAATCTCTTAGGATACAGAAAAGCACCATAGAAGAAAAACAAAAGTTAGACTTCGTCAAAGTTAAAATTAATTTTAATGTACCTAAGATTAATAGGAAAATTACAGACTGGGAAAATATATTTGTCATACTATATCTGACAGAGGACTTCTATCCAGAATATATAAAGAACTACAATAGAAGGAAAACCTAATGAAAAAATATGGATGAAAGACTTGGATGGACGTTGCACAGAAGAGACACAGACGACCAGTAAGTGCGTGAAGTGCTGCCCGGCATCGTGACTCATCAGGAAAATGGTAAGTACAGCCACGTGGGGTGCTCGCTTCAGCAGCACGCACACCCACACTGAGCGAGGCGGAGGGGGCACACGTGGCCCCAGAGCAAGGATGCACGCAGGTTCCTGAGAGTTCACAATCTGAGCAGTTCCCTAAGGTCCTTCCACTCTGCCGGTTAGTTCCACGGGAATGACGTGCGTCAGAGCACAGCGTGTGGTACCCAGTGTTGAGACAGTGATCTTCACTCCAAAAAATACATGGTGATTCCGTTTCTCACTTTCTAGAGCAACTAAAATCAAAAAGGCTGACAAAACTAAATACAAATGAGGGTATGAGCAGCACGAACCCTTACGCGTTGTGATGGGAGAGCAGTTCAGTTTCTCATAGTTCAGTGTGCTGTGACCCAGCCCTGTGAACCTACATGTCTAGGCATGTACTCAAATTAAAACATGTCTACAGGCATATTTGTTGCAGTTACAAAAGAAGAAGCTGTTGATAGAAGCTTTTTTATAATGGCCTCAACCCGGAAGTAATGCAGATTGATGTCCAACACCAGCAGTAGGGATGAACAGACTGTGATGTGCAAGTGTAACAGGTACTTGTCAGAACCTAAAGGGACCTGCTGCTGCTGCAAACAGGAACGTGGATGAATAGTGAAAGCACTGTGTTCGGTGAGCGAAGACAGACACGCCTTGTACTGCTGCATCTACGTGAAGCCTGAGAGTAGGTTGAACTCTTGTGCTAGAAATCAGGGGATGTGGGGATGGACTGACCCACTCACTACCAGGGTGAAGGAGTTTTTATATGCTGTTTGGAGTGGTAGTTACATGTAAGTATACAGGTGTCAAAATGCATCTAAGTGAACACTTAAAGCCTGTGTATTGTGCGTAAGTTAAGCCTCAGTTAAAATATTGAAAAGAGTATTATTAACACACACATCTGCTAGGAAGACTGACGGATGTGGCTTGGGGCCCTGTAGGCAGAAACACTGGTTGAAGTTCAGCTGCCGAAGAGGCCCATCGCTGAACCCCGTTGCCGTGCCCACTCTGAGCGTAGCTCCCCGGAGTCCAGTGCTGCAGAGCTGCCTCCTGTGGCCCGAGTTGTGGGGAACCACCTCGACTCCTCAGACACCCAGCACGACATCAGTGCTTCGGACTTGTCTCGACATCGCACGTTTCCACTTGGCACGTGCTACTTAGGTTCAGAGAGTCAGGTGCTGACGCCCGATCGTGCTGATGCTGTGGTGGGCGAACTGCTGGGTGGAAGAGCACCACTCAGCTGAAGGGTTCAAACAAGAACTGCGCTGGGTTGTCCATGCTGTGTTCGGGACATGAGTCCACGTATCTACAGCTGGAGGTTAAACATAACTCGTTTGTTTACTAAGTCCTCGGTACCTAACTCTTTTATAACAGTAAGAAAAAAAATGACTTTTACTGTGTGTCCATGTGCAACGTTTTTATTATACAGTTGAACTTCAAAAGTTAATCCTCTTTTCTAGTTAATATGATTTGCAGTATCAAACATGTTTGTCTTCATTTCTGATAAGCTTTGGTTGGAACAGGTGTCTTTGCTTTCCTGCTCATCGTTTCTGCAAGTACTGGGGAGCATTATGGATCTCCTTATTTAAAGAAATTCCAGCTTACATTCTTTGGCAAAGTGAAGATTTTATTAAATGTGTGCTCCCTGCTATGTGCCTTGAAATCTCAGATTTTTGTACCTTGGATTTTTGAAACTTGGAAACACCTTGTGCATCAGCTGTTCGCATTCCCTTACAGGTGCAGCTCCTCCGTGCGTCTGCAAGATGGGAGATGCGTTCCCAATCACGTGTATTTTTTCTTGATACTGCCTTGAGTCATTATAGTAAATTTGTGAATTAAGATAATTTAGAGAGAACATGGATTAATTTTGCTCCAGTTAACATTTGGGATTCAAGGACTAGTGAGGGAAATTATGTCAATCACTGCATTCAGCTTGAAGAGGCCCAGTGAAAGTCCTGTGTGCCTCTGAGGTGCACACACCTTTCCTGGCCCCGTTGTTCTCTTTCCTGGAGACCTGCCTCAGTTTCCCAAACCCACAGATGCCGAGAGCAGTGGCCGTGGTTAACCATGGGGAAGGGGTGTCACAGAGAGGGGGGCGAGTCGTAGCTTTCATAGTGCCTCCAAGTTGAGTGATGGTAGTTTTTCAGTCTGGCCGTGTTTATTCCCAAACTGCAGCCTTGGGAAACCAAGTTAAGACTCCTTTTTCGTTGCTGCCACTGTCATCTCTGGAGCCCACCTGGTGACTGCGATTGCAGGGTGGGGCAGCACAGGGCTGTACTCACAGGACTGTGCCCGTGCAGCGCCTCCAGCTGGTTCTAGGTTCCTAGGAGCACCTGGGAAAGATACCTAGTCACCTGGGGACAGTACACCGCATCAGAGGAGCTCACCCAGGTTGCTTTCTGGAGTCTTCCCACTGTGCCCCTGTAGACGGTTCGGCAGGTAGAGGTGGGCACCAGGACGGTGGGAGAGGAGAGGAGAGGAGAGAGGGTCTTGGGGACAGAGTGGTGGGGTGACACTCCCTCTGCACACTGCTGAGCTGGGCCGTCTCTGAGCGGGGTTTGGATCGTGCTTCACACAGCCTTTGGCCTCTTTTCTTGTCCTAGTCTTGTGGACGAGTAGGGCTAGACACCCCGATTTCAGGTCCACAAGTTTCCAGGCTCCCCTTCGTTACTGTGCTGAGAAACTTGAAACCTTCTCAATGAGGACCACTCAGCAGATTTAGCCAATGAAAGTCATGCTCACCACTTTCTCAGAAAAGAAACTAAAGGAAAGTACCACAGGACCAGCCCCACTGACCGTGTGTGTCAGAGACATTCGCTCAGGTCCACGTGTCCCTGCCTGGCCATCCGTTTCTCTCTCCTGTCGCTCTGTGGACATGTGGACATCTTTTCAGATTTTTTTTAGCCTTTAGTGGTACAGTGATTGATTTTAACAATTCCCATATTTGGCATTGTTTTTGATCTTCTTTTTACTTTGTTCCCTGCTTTTTGCATTCTCCCCCCACCCCCCTTCTTCACCCCACTTTGATTGTCGGGTGTGTGTTTGTGTGTCTGTGTGTCCCTGATTTTCCGTGTTCGTCGGTCTGGTGTTCTCTCCCTTCCCGGCTCCCTCCTCCTGCCGCTGTAGCCCCACCGGCTGTGGACGCTGGCTGAGCAGGTAGGGATTTCCGCTCACCCACACCGGTGCCTGCCCACCACCGGCTCCGACCCTGGCCCCGGGAGTGAGTGCAGAGACTGGCTGGGCTTCCCCACCTGCAGCCAGGAGGGCTGACGGCCAGCGTGATGTCCACTCTCAGACTTCGTCTGACGCCTCGCATCTGTGGCAAACGCTGTGCTTCTGTTGTACACGATCAGTGGTGTCTTGGCCAGTTTGCAGTCATCTCTGTTTCACTCCATTTTCCACTTCTAGTGACCCGCTTCCTGGTTTGTGTTTTTGATTGGCCTCTTTGGGTATGCACTTTGCATCACTCCGCACTCAGAGCTGGTCTGCAGCACAGCTCCACTGACAGGCACAGGTCAGCGAGGACGCGGTGGCCTCACTGCAGGGCAGCCCCGTCCTCCAGGCTGACTGCATGTGCTTTCTCGGGGGGGGGACTCCTGGGTGGCCTAGTATGTTGTGATGAAGGCGTCTTTATTTTTATGTTTTTCTTATATTTAAACATGCCTTTGGTACAAGATTAAGATTCTCTCCTGAGGAACTTTAGTGTAGTCCTTCAAATAAACTCTCAGTCTCCGTTATTTTTTGGCACAGTTTTGTTAGCTTCCATCTTTTTCTACCCAAGGTTTGGCGTTACCTGCCCAAGAAATTCACATAGAATTTTGGTTGGTAATGTAGCTTTAAAGCCATGGTTCTTCGTGAATAGAGATCACTGTCCAGAAGTCAGCCCGTCCTGTGTTTTGAAGGGGTTTGCAGCGCCAAGGTGAGGTTCTGGACTCCTTGTTAAATAAGTAGGGGCTCGGACCACAGGGCGCGGCCGAGGCAGCCAGTGGTGAACACAGTCTCCCTGACCTGCCCCCTCGCTGGAGGCAAGCTGAGGCACACGGAGAACCAGGAGGACCGGCAGTACTTTCTCTCCCTCCTTATCCTGTCGGCTCACGTCACGAGTTCTGCTCCAACGTGTCGAGGTCTAAGCGTTCACCTTTCAGGACGCGTGTGGTGAAGCACCTCTCAGCCGTGAGGCCTCGTGTCCTCAGCGGCCTGCTTTTGCCAGACGCTGCCTCAGCAGTGCCAGCCTTTTATTAGGCAAGATGCCCCTTTCCGATTTTCGTAGACGTGACTGAGAGGCAAGCTGTGGGAAAGGCCAGCATTAATAACACGCTCCTGTCAGTTAGGTTATCCGTTGAGAGGTGCGGTTTTACTGCTTTGGGTTTGGTTCGGTTTCAGACGTTACCGGAGAAATGCTCCCCAGCCAGGGGAACGTGCAGACACAGCTCTCAGGGCAAACGTGGGTTAACCGCACCGTGTCCTTGCTTGCAGGGGACCTCGGGGCCCGACCCGACCACCGTCTACGTGGACATGCGCGCTCTGAGACACGACAGGTACTGTGGTTTTGTGTTTGTGGCCCCAGCATCAGAGAGGAGTGCGGGACGGTCTGCTCCAGGCTGGGTGGTCCGGGGAGTGGGCTTCCCCGGCGCTCACGCCCCGGGGGGCACCCGCCCTGCTCTGAGGGTGGATGGAAGGGTCGGCCCAGAGCCGCCACACCCAGGCCGCGTGTCCTCACGGTCTGCCCGGGAGACTGTCCTTCTCTTCAGCATTTCAGTCAGGCATCGCTTTGCACCTCATGAAATACCAACACTCAGCCCACGTTTCTTTGTGTGAATTGAAATGTTCTGTCAAGGTATTTCCACGAAAAACCACAATGCAGGTCAGGGTGCCTTTCTGTGCAGCTTCCTCAGCAGCCTGAGGGGATGTTGCTGGTGGGTGTGTGTCAGTTTCACCTCAAGGAAGGGAAGTTGGGAGGGTGAGGGCTCTTCCGAGGAGCTTCTGCCCCAGCAAGGGGCTCCCCCTGGTTCCTGAAGGGCAGAGAAAATCCTGCATTTTCCTACAGACGCCCCACTGATGAGGCCACTTCTCTGGTGTGGATGTGGAGATGTCCCTCCACTGACGTTTCTGTGGCACGACTGGCGAGGGTGGAGGTGCTGGTGGACATTTGGACGGCCAGACTCCGTGCTTCCGTCCACACTTCCTCACGTGGTGCCTCCCAGCACAAGAGGGTGGGGGAGAGTGGTCGTGAGCTGCGGTGGGGAAACCGGTAGACCCCGGCCAGCCCAGCTGGCGTGCTCTGCGATGGGCCTGAGTCCCCTGTGATGACCACGTCCTGGGACGTGACCTGGGCCTCCCAGAACCCCACGAGGCCCGTGTGGGCGTGCAAAGCAGCCTCCTTCCTGAGAGGACAGTGTGGGAGGGACATCGGGGCACACGGACCTAGGAAGAGCGTCACGTGATCTGACCCGGGGCACCTACAGGACATGTTGCCTCAAAACCGTCAAGGTTGTCAAAAAGGGGCGTCAGCTGAGGAGGTCTCTTGGGGGGAGAGGAGGACACATGGTCCTGAGGCAAAAGCTGAGAAACAGGACTGACCCTGACCCGTGGGCCGTGAGGACCGCCCCACGTTGACCCTGTGGGGTAGTGCTGTGAGATGCAGTTAACGCCACATGCAGGGAGTCCTCACTGTCTGAACAGGTCTTCTGTGAGCCTCACACGCTTCCAAAAATGGTCTGTTGATGGGAAGGAAAAGCCAAGGAGGTCTGAAAACGGAAGCTTTTTCTGAGTTTACTGTGAGTGAATTTCCCATCACAAGCTTACTAATGGATGGGAAGCGTGAAGAGTTGACCCCACTATTGCTGCGGGAGTAGGACCTCGGGTCACATCTTCGTCGGGACTCGCCCTCAGGGACCCGAGGGCCGCCGGGCTGCGTGGTCCTGGCTGGGAGCCTGTGGGCACGTCCAGAAGAGGCGTGAGGAGAGGGCAGCCTGGGCAGTCCTGGACGTGGCTGCGCCCCAGGGCATCCACCAACAGGGTCCCCTTCAGCCGGAGGAAGGAAAGGAGAAAAGGCTCACAGAGTCTGGACTTGAGGGGGTGGTGGGGAAGAAGCTGCTGGTTTGTGGCTCGGGAGGAGAAGGCCGCGTGAGCGCGCGGGCGTCCGGCCGGCCAGCGCCGCTGCGGGCTCTCCTCGCTGCTTTGGGCGGCACGTGACGGCAGCTTTTGCTCAGCGCCTCCCTTGGAAACTGCAGTGCCCTGCGGTGTGTTTTGTTGTCTTGCTCCAGTTTGGGATGGTATTTAAGTAGGATTTTTTTTCCTTATGTTTCTAGCGATTTTTTTCTTTTATATGTTTGACTAGCAGCAAAGGAAATAGCCAGATGTTAAAGTCCAGACTTTGACAGTAAAATGTATCTCATTCCTCTTCTCTCTTTGCCTTAGCTGTCATGAAGCTGAGAATTAAATTCAGTCTCAGCAGCTGGATTAACTGACCTCAGTCTTTGAAATACTCCAATACATCCCATCTCTTGGGATTTTTTAAATGTGTTCAGATGTACTTGTTATGTTGGATCTCTTGGATGCTTCAGGTTATTTTGGGAAGAAGATGTAGTTTAAATGTGTAATTGAGACTCTCGGTGGGGGATGTGAATGAAATGGGTGACAGGGTCGAAAGGAGGAAGCCCCTGGTTATGAGATAACCAAGCCTTAACAGCACCGTGCGACATGTCTGCCGGCTGCTAAGAAGAGGGCAGCGTCCTCGTCACAGGAGGAAAAGAAGAACGTTTATGAACGTGTGACGGCAGGAGGTGACCAGGCTCACCGTGGGGACCACTCGGGGGGGCTGCACACACCGGGTCCTTGTCACGTGCACCTGACACTGCTGTTACACCTCAGTTCTTAAAAATGGAAGAGAAAGAAGACAAAAGACAGAAGCGCTGGGAGCAAAACCCCGGGTGGGTGGAGGGCAGCGCGGGCTCGGGGAGGCCGTGTGGCGGGGATGGAGCGCTGGCCCCAGCCCGGAGCCGCAGCACTGCAGCCTGTCCCGCTGTGAGCGCGTGCGCGGGAGGATCTTTCGGGCAGTGGCTGGCTCAGAGTTAGCACTGAATACACGTTTGCCGTTTGAGGAAAAAGGAAAATAACGTGCTCAGAAGAAGCAGAAATCGAATGCTGTGAACAGCGTCCCTGTTTAGCTCTAGAATTACTGAATAATAAGCCGTTCCTCAGAATTTCTATGGACGTTCTTTGTAGTCACTGAGCTGGTGTCATCTACGCCTGGGAACTGAGAGAGAAAAACCTGAAGTCAGTGTCATACTTGAAGGAATAACTGCCCCCCACCTCCCGGGACATGCTGCGTTCCTGCCGCTGCACAGGTCATGTCCCTGCTGAGCCGTGCCGCGTCAGACCCGTCCCCCTGCCACCCGGCAGCGAACACTCGTCCTGAGCAGAAGAAACGAAGCCCGCTGGCCCCTCAGCAGCGCGTCTGCGCTGCCTGGGCCCCTCTGTGACGGTGGACGGCCCCCTGCCTGTGCCGTGCAGATAGGGCTCATCCCCCAGGTCTTACTGACCCCCAGAGGTGTCGCTGCCAGGACATGCCCGCACTGGGTTTGTCCATGATTCTGAAGCCACTGTGGCGAGGGCCAGCACTGCTGCGGAGCAGGTGATGTGCCCTCGATGGTGACAATCCGCTGAGGGGCTGGCGGCCCCGGGAGGCGGGAGCGCTCACCCCCTTTGCCAAGAACCGGCTGCCCGGAGGGGCGAGCTGCACTCCTAGCCCAGAGGCCCCAGCCACCCTGTCTCCCTCAGTGCGGCCCGTGCTTCTGAGCGCCCCGCCTGCCTGCTGCTTGTGCGTGTCGCCGGCTCTTTCGGGAGACGCGTCTCTGCCTCTTTCTGTTGGAGTGGTTTTCTCGCTGTGGACGTCTGTCTTCTCGAGTGGATGCAGGGCCGCCTCTGAGTGAGTCCGGCACCCCCGCCCCTGCTCTCCCAGGACTGCTGACGCACTGCACCGTTTGCGTACTGACCAGAGAAGAAATTTCTTTTTCTTTTTTCACATCTGCCCTCCACCCTTGCCCCGGCCCCTCAGCAGCCCAGCCGGGAGATTCCTGCCATAGATGCTCCTGGTTTCCCACACTTCAGATGAGCTCTGCAGCTGAGACTCCGTGCGCCTGCCTGCGTCGGAGGCCAGGGTCAGCAGGGAAGGGCAGGAAGAGGGCAGGGAGGCCTGCTGGTCAGAGCAGCAGAGGCTGGCCAGCACACGGGGCCAGCAGCTCCCCTGCTGAAGGAGCCCGGGCCGTGGGCTCACCCCAGTGCTGACAAGAACCTTGAAGGGAGGGGCGTGGGTGTGGGTGCGGGTCGCAGCCCTGGGGGTTCACTCCCACCGTTGTGGCCTGAGTGGTCTGGTTCCATTCCTGACACCAGGTGCCCACTCAGAAGCCGTCCCCATCATAACGCGGCCACCAGAGCTACCTGGCAGGGGTTTGGAATGTCCTCAGGGAGTAGTGTCAGTGAGTGGACAGCCAGCAGAGTGGAGCTTGTCCAGAATGGCCCTCATTTTTGACAGTTTTTGCTCCCTGGCCTGACCGCCTGGCCTCTGCAGGACGCCTGGCCCACACGCTGGCTGACTGCCCACCCCCCAGAGGACAGCAGCCCCGCTTGGGGGCCTAGCCAGCCGTTACTGCCCCTTCCTCTTTCCTTCTCCCCTCTTCCCTCGCTCCTGCCCCTGCCTGCCCACCACCTGCCCAGCCAGCTTGGCCTTGTTTCTCTGTTGCTTCTCCGTCTGCAGCCAATTGCCAATGTCCAGAATCCCCAGTTGGCCAGCCAGCCCTTGGACACAGGCTTCTTCACTTAATCTGACTGCTCAGATCAGCCTAGTTTTATTTCAGTGTGACAGACAGGGCCTCCTGACCCCACAGGCTATGGAAGTCATCGTTCCCAGCATTGCCTTTTCCTGCGAGCATCACGTCTGTCTGAAAGCCGCTACGGGTGAAGCTCCGTAGATCCTAAGTACTGTTCAGGTGGTCATTGTGAGTGGTAACCTGCCCTAAACTGCATTACGCTACCTGGGGCATAGAGGAGTTTAAGTTCCTTTTAATTCTGTCTTAGTGCAGCCAGTGATCTACTTTTGCAGGTAACACCTTTAAGCCTATCAGCACACAGGCAGACCTCAGAGATACTGTGGGCTTGGTTCCAGGCCACCACAGTAAAGCAAGCACCGCAGTAAAGCAAGCACCGCAGTAAAGCGGGTCACGTGGTGGGGAGGGTAGAGCACATGGTTAGCAGGCACGAGGCCCTGGGTTCAGTCCTTGGTGCCTCCATTAAATAAGCAAATAAACCTAGTTACCTCCCCCCAAAAACACACAAACGTGAGTCACTCGAATGTTTTGGTTCCCCAGTGCATGTAAGTTACGTTTACACTATATGATAGTCTATTAAGTGTGTGATAGCATTATGTCTTTAAAAAAAAAGGCACACCCCTTAATTTTAAAATATCTTACTGCTAAAAGATGCTAATTATCATTTGAGCCTTCAGGGAGGAGTAATCTTTCTGCTAGTGGAGGGTCTTGCCTCAGTGTTGGTGTTTGCCTGACGGATCAGGATGGCGGTAGCTGAAGGCTGCGGTGGCTGTTTGCCACCGTAAGTGACTCTCCCTTTCAAGAACAGTTTCTCTGTAGCGTGCAGCATGCCTGATAGCGTTTCACCACAGAGCTTCTTCCAAATTTGAGTCCATTCTCTCAACCTTTGCTGCTGTTTCATCGACTTAGTTTTTGTAATATTCTCAATCTTTTGTTGTCATTCCAACAATCTCCACAAGGAGTAGCTTTCCTCTCAGGAAAACACTGTCTTTGCTCATCCATAAGAAGCAGCTCCTCGCCCACTCAAGTTGTGTCCTGAGATCAGAGCAGTTCGGTCACATCTTCAGGCTCTGCGCCCGGTTCTCATGCTGCTTCCGCCACATCTGCGGTAACTTTCTCCGCTGAAGTCCTCAGCCCCTGCAGGTCGTCCACAGCGGCTCCGATGAACTTCTTGCAAACCCCTGTGAATGCTGATGCTGTGACCTCTTCCCAGGAATCATGAATGTCCGTAGTGGCACCTAGGATTGTAAGCTCTCCCCAGAAGGTTCTCCACTGACTTTGCCCGGATCCATCAGCGGAATCACTGTCTGTGGCAGCTGGAGCCTCACAAAATATATTTTGTAAATAATGAGACTTGAAGTTGAAATGACCGCTTGCTCGTGGACTACAGAAAGAATATTGTGTTACAGGCACAAAAACAACATTTATGTCACTGTCCCTCTGCATCAGAGCTCTTGGGTGACCAGGCATGTTGTCGGTGAACAGTAATATTTTGAAAGGATTTTTTTTCTGTGAGCAGTAGGTCTCAACAGTTGGCTTAAAACATTCTGTAAACCATGTTGTAAACAAATGTGCTGTCATCCAGGCTTTGTGGTTCATTTGGAGGGCATAGGCAGAGCAGACGTAGCTTCATTCTCAAGGGCCCTAGGGCTTTTGGAATGGCCAGGAGCGTTGGCTCCTAGCAGGAGGGTCAGTCTGACCTGTGAAGCTTCGAGGCCAGACACAGACTTCTCTGCAGCTGTGGAAGTCCTAGATGGCATCTCCTTCCCACGTAAGGCTGTTTCATCTGCCTTGAAGATGTGTGGTTTAGTGCAGCACCATCGTGAGACCTGGGCGGGACCTAGGGCAGCGCTGCGGCGTCTGCCTCGGCTCTGGCTGCCTCACCTGCGCTCGTGTGTTGTGGAGACGGCCTCTCTCCTTGACCTCAGGGACAGCCTCTGCTGGCGTCAGCCTCCTTCCGCAGCGCCCTCCCCTCCCTCGGCCTCCATGGGGTTGGAGAGCCGGGGCCTGGCTCTGGGCGAGGCTTTGGCTGAGGGGCTGTGGCGGCTGGCTTGGTCTTCTGCCCATCTCAGCAGTAAGCGTGCTTGGCTTTGTTACCATTCGTGTGTTCACTTTTAATTTCCTTTGAGTACTTTTCCTTTGCATTCACAACTAGGCTAACTGGTGCAAGAGACCGAGCTTTCAGCTCATCTCGGCTTTCAGCGTGCCTTCCTCACTGAGCTTAATCATTTCTGGCTTTTCATTTAAAATGAGAAGCATGTGGCTTTTCCTTGAGAAGAGCGTCACTTGAACACTCCGAGGACATTACGGGTTATTAAGCGGCCTGATTTCGAGATCATCGCGTTTCAGGGAATAGGGAGGCCGTGCAGGGAGAGACAGCAGAACAGCCGACCAGTGGAACAGTCAGAGCAGATGACTTTTGTTAAGTTCACCATCTTACGTGGGCAAGTTCGTGGAGCCCCAATTACAGTAGTGACATCAAAGAGCACTGATTGCAGATCCCCATAACAAATACATATGATAATGAAAAGTTTGAAATATTGCCAAGAATTACTACCAAAATGCTACAGAGAAAAGAAGTGAGCAAATGCTTTTGGAAAAATGGCGCCTATAGACTTGATCAGCGTGGGGTTGTTGCAAACCTGCGACTCGTGAAAGAACGGTACCTGCAAAGCACGCTGACCCAAACGCGGGGGACGAGGGGCGCCTGTGTCTGGGCTTAAGTGGAGCAGACGCAGGTCGTTTTCCCTCGAGAGCCCTCCCCTCCCGCTGTCTGCAGCTGGGTCTTCCTTGGGACAAACACCGGGGGCTCAGTGGTTATCAGACCGCCAGATTTGCTGCAGGAAGCTCTTCCGCCCCGTCGCATCACTGCTGCAGCCGCCTGCCAGGCTTCCTCCGCTGCTCTTGTCTCAGCAACACGAGGCACCGCACGAAAGCCTAGGTGGGAGGCAGGGCGTCCTCTGCCTGGAAGTAAGACCTTTCTAGCTGCTGAGAGCTGGGAGCCCCACAGCGGCCCTCTGTCAGCACCTTGTCTGCCTGCCTGCCTCATGCCGACGTGGTCACCCACACCCTGGGGCCTCATGTTGCGTGGCCACCAAGCCCTGACTCTCGGGGGCCCCCCCTTCAGCAGCACTTGTCAGTTACGGGGGCAGATCTGTGCTGATACGAAGACCAGGTCACGGTGGTGCATTGACAGCCCTGCCCTCCGCCCTCTGCAGCCGGACGTTGCGGCCTGTCGGTGAAGGATCACATCACAGTCTCAACACAGCATGGCAGAGATGTAAAACCAGCCCTGGAGGCCACAGAACACCTGGCATAATGCAGCTGGGAAGGACTTGGCCACCTCAGGTTGTGACTGGCACCAGCGTCCTCTAGAGTTCTTAAAATTAACATTGAGTAGTTTTTTAATTGAGAAGAGGTTATTTTTTGAAGGTAGATTTTGCTGTCTGAATTGGCCTGTCCTCTCCCCGCTGGGCCCCACTGAGCCCGGTTTAGGAGGTGGATTCTATGCTGCTGCCTCTGAGGCCCCTCCTGTGGCTTGTGGTGGCAGGGCTATGACGTGTGGCTCCTCCCGTGGCCTGCAGAGGCAGGGCTGTGGCCTGGGGCCCCTCCCGTGGCCTGTGGTGGCAGGGCTGTAGGCTGTGAGTGCTTCAGGACCAGGAGTCACTATCACCAGGGGTGGCGGCTCTTTCAGGACCACAGTTCGTTCTGTGTCCTTGTTTTTTTCTCCCGCAGATACAGCCTTTCTGAGGGTTGGTGAATGAGGCTCTGTTCTCCGTGGCCTGTACAGTGGCCGTTTCCTGCCAGAGCACAGTTGCTCTCTGCTGTCCCTGCTTGTTCTCTGACTCCTGGCCTGTCTTTGGGTTGAGTTGTGCTCGCCCACAGATTTATGTTCCCCGTGCAGCTGCCAGGCTTCGGCCTGGAGCTGAGCGTGGAGGACGGGGCTGCACCGGCGCAGAGACACACTCAGTAACGCCCTCTGTTTCCCTTTGTAGAGTCCGCTTAGTAGAAAGAGGATCCCCTCATAGTTTGCCGCTAATGGAATCGGGAAAAGTAAGTATTGAAGGAAGCATATATATTTTCACAGAAACATGAGTCTTAATTTCTGAGCTTTAAAAATTTAAGAAAAATATTACGGAATTTTTTTCCCAAAAAGTTTTCTTTAATGTAATATCTCAGGACTGATTTTGGCCATGAGCACAGAAATTCAGAATTACAATGTTTTAAATGAGTCAGTTTTCCTTCGTGTGAAGGACATCACCGGGCTGGCACCTCTATCTTATTCTGCTCCACGTGGCCACTCCACCCAAGGGAGCCTCGGGGTCTGAAGTGGCCTGGCTTCCTTCCCACGGTCCTGCAGCAAGAGGGGCAGGAAAAGGAGGAGCAGGAGGGGCAGGCTGTCAGGAAGTTCCCTCACACTTAAGTACCACTGGGCATGGTCACGCCCAGCTGGCAGGAAGGCTGGGGGTCCTGTGCCGGTTCTGAACACCCGGGGGCCTGGCTGAAATTCAGGGTGTGGCTCCCTGTGGAAGCACAGTGAAGACCGGGGGTGGGGGTTACCAGGGACAGCCAGTAGTCCTGCCGCAGTGGTGGCATCGTGTGCAGAACTAAAGGGCAAGGAGCAGACCTAAGCCTCAGTGAAGACTCTTTTGGAGCCAGTTGTCCGACTTCTCCACTTGACATGGTTCTGAAAGCGTCTTCTGCTGTTCTGGACCTTTTATAGTCTGTCTGCCTGACCACCCATCAGAATTCTTGGTTCTGAGTTGGCTCTAGGGTAGAGCTCAGCCTGGTGGGCCGCTAGTCAGACAGGTTCCCAGGGCTTTCTCCGCAGATGTCTCCGTGGACCTCGACCACGCGGCGTTACTTTGCCAAACCGAGACGGCTTGTGTTCTGAATTTCCAGAAGCAGCTCTCACTTCCTGCGAAATATGGTTTCAATAGAATTCAGAGCACTTCCAAGCTAACTTTCCTTTAAGAAGGCGGTGCTTAATGTCAACATCACGCTGGAAGACATTCACGGCGGGAGAAGTGGGTGGTGTGGTGAAGAGACGGAGCTGGACGTGGTGCCCCAGGCCACGTGGCAGTGACGCCTCTGAGTCCTGGTCTGCAAGCATCGAGCTGTGTTAAATTATATCATTTGTCATGTTTTTGTTCAAATTCTTAATTTTAGGATCACTTTAACACAGGCTCTCTCATTGTAAGTGTTTTGTGTGATTCCGTCATGCTGTGTATGTGATTTAGAGCCATCTACCTTCCAAACCGTTTTAGAAAGGCAAACAGGCACGTGGCATGAAGACATCCCCATCTGTCCTTCCACTGACGAGAACGTTCTCCCACGCAGATCCTGCCGGGTGTTCGGATCATAATTGCCAACCCGGAAACGAAAGGGCCGTTGGGAGACTCGCACCTGGGTGAGGTGAGTGAGGGGCCCGTGAGCTTTCCGGGTTACGGGGCAGAAGCTTCTTGAGGGGTATAATTCCCTTCAAAGACTTGAGAGAAGAGAAGACAGCGTGTGGACTGAGGTTTGCCTCCTCTGCTGTGACAGCCTCCTCGGGAACACGGCGGAGTAGTGTGTGGAGGGGGTCGGGCCACCACCTAGGGTCACAGCCGTGTCCACAGCAGTGGCAGGCGGGCGACAGCAGGGGTTTATTTGGGTCAGAAGGTCACTTCCGCTCGCCTTCCCGTCTCCAGCCAGCCATGTCATGCTTCTGCCTTCTCCAAGGTTCTCCACTCTCCCTGGTTAACTTGCTTCTTCCAACACATCTGCCTTCCCCTCCGTTTTCCCCTCCAAGGCCAAGCACACAGCGACCCTCCTGCCAGACCTCCTCCCAGGGCCACCCGCTGTGTGGCCAGCTTCCCCCTCCTTGACCCCTTGCCGCCACACACAAAACGCAGCCGCAGCTGGCATCCCACTGTCTTCCCGAACAGCAGCCCCGCTGCCGTGGGCGCCGGGCGCAGTGGGTGGAGGAGTGAGGACGTGAGGGGGCCGGGTTCTGCCCGCCGCACCCTCTCCACACCCTGTCTTCTTGGGCTGATTCTGGGCTCTCACTTGACTCGACTCTGCCCATGTGACAAGCAGAACTGAGATGATAATTCCTAAATGAGGTCTGTACAGAGTTTTTCCTCTAAACCCCTTCCTAAGAGTGAAAATGGGCTGTAGCCCCTGCTGTCCTCACGGTGGGCAGCCTCGCCGGGGCCTGAGAGCCATGTGCTGGGGAATCCCCTTCACTCAATGGGAGACCTTGTGTCTGAGAGCAGAGACAGTGTTCACCCTCCTTGTTGGATGCAGGGCTTCCTTCCTGTTGACTCTGCTCCGCGGGGCATGGGGTGCACAGTCCAGACCGGCCCCTCTGACCACACTGCACACACGGCGGCTGTAGGGCGTTTCAGGGGCGAGGCGGCGTAGCTGGTGCCTCGGTCGGCACTCAGTGTCAGCATGTTTCCTTCTTGTTTCCTCAAATACCACACTTGGGCATTGTGGTTCCCTGTTTGGTTTTTTTTTTAATGTTTTTTTTTGTTTTGTTTCATTTTTGCTTGTTTTTTAGTTTTTTTTTTATTGAGGTGTAGTCAGCTTACAATGTTGTGTAAATTCTTGGTGTACAACACAGTATCGTACATGGATATACATATATTCATTTTCATATTCTTTTTCACTGTAAGCGGTTACAAGATATTGAATATATTTGCCTGTGCTCTGCAGTATAACCTTGTTTATCTATTTTATATACCAGTCAGTATCTGCAAATCTCGAACTCCCAGTTTATCCCTTTCCAACCCCCTCCCCTCTGGCAACCATAAGTCTGTATTCTATGTCTGTGAGTCTGTTTCTGTTTTATGTATAAGTTCATTTGTCTTTTTTTTTTTTTTAGACTGCACATATGAGTGAGACGGTATTTTTCTTTCTCTTTCTGGCTTATTACTTCATTTAGAATGACATTCTCCAGGGCCATCCATGTTGCTGCAAATAGCATTGTTTTATCATTTTTATGGCTGAGTAGTATTCCATTGTATAAATATACCACAACTTCTTTATCCAGTCATCTATTGATGAACATTTAGGCTGTTTCCATGTCTTGGCTACTGTAAGTAGTGCTGCTGTGAACATTGGGGTGCAGGTGTCTTTTTGAATTAGGAGTTCCTCTCCCAGGAGTGGGATTGCTGGGTCATATGGTAAGTCCAATTTAGTCTTTTGAGAAATCTCCATACTGTTTTCCATAATGGCTGCACCAAACTGCATTCCTACCAGCAGTGTGGGCGGGTTCCCTGTTTTTTGATGTTACGTGCTTTCCCTCCTGGTTTGTTTCTGTCGTGTTGTTTTATTACAACGTATTTACAAAAGTATGCAGACCAGGTGAAAGGGAAAAATAAATCATAAAACTCTTCAACATTTTTCGAGGCTGCTTTTTAGAAACAGTCACTTCATTTGAATAAATACAAGGAAGCTCACACAGCTCTGTCCGTTGGCTGTGTTCGGTTTGAAAGCCCCCAGGCAGTCTGCTCTAATGGAGCTCTCCATAGGCCGTGCTTAGTTGTTTGCTCAGCCATGAGCTTGCTCTCCCGCCTTCTTTTCAGTAAACTCTGTGGCTCCAGTGTCCCCTAGAAACCCGAATGCCTCGTTATCGCAGGCCAGGGCACTTTCAGTAGCTCGGGACGTGGTCTGCTGAGCTATACTAGTCGTTCCTGCCCTGGCCACCACTCGAGTTACCTTATCCAGTTGTGTTTTTGCTTCCTCAACAGATCTGGGTTCACAGTGCCCACAACGCCAGTGGTTATTTCACTATTTATGGAGATGAATCCCTCCAGTCAGATCACTTCAACTCAAGATTAAGTTTTGGAGACACACAGACAGTCTGGGCACGAACAGGCTATTTGGGGTTCCTGCGGAGAACTGAACTCACTGATGCAAATGGAGGTGAGAGTCCAGACAGGCTGCAGAAAGGTCCCCAGACCCTGGTAATCCATCTGGGGTTTGGGGTTCCCTTCCCAAGCTCTGGGCCCGGCCCGTGTCCACGGAGGAGCGGCAGCTCGGAGGAGCTGGCACCAGGCACAGGTGGTACTTGGAGCAGAAAGTCTTTGCTGATTCTGGAATCCCTTCTCCGCTCCTTATTCTACCAAAAGCAGAGGCAAGACTTGGGTATTTGACAGGAATGGGGGCTGAGGTTTCTTGGTGAGACCCGCCATACCCGAACCCCAGGAGACGAGCTTCTAGACGTCAGAGAGGCCCCCTGACCCACCTGCGAGGGGGCGGCTGCACTAACCTGGCCGAACCGGCATGAATTTAGGGGAAAGGTACAGAAACATTCAGGCATTTCCAATCTGGGAAAGTCGTGGACTGTTTTATTTGAGGTTGCTGTCACAGCTCCTTGAAGAACCAAGCTTGGAGACACCCAGACCCCCCAGGAGACAGGGCAGGTCTCGTCCTGCAGAGCCCAGTGGCTGGACCGGTGGGCTCCCCGCCGCCACCCTGGTCAGAAGCCAGCAAGTAAACGCTTCCATCTCATCTGACTTCAACTGGAAAATATTTATTTTCTGGTGTTTTCTATGCCGGTCACTTCTCCCAGCCCCGCCCTGCCACACTCACCACCGTGAAGAGTAAGGAAAGACGTTCAGACTGCATGTTGTCATTACCCCAAGTCTGAACGACTGATGAGAATCAGCGTGACAGCCGCACGAGCTCAGGGAAGCTTTGTGCTCGCACATTCTTGGGGACTGCGCGCTCTTTTCCCGCTCAGACTTAAGGCCTCGTGTGACGGAAGCAGAGGGGTGGGCGGAGTCTTGGCTGCACCGTGTCTTCAGCCTGTGACCCTGGGGTGCGGGGCCACTGAGGGGTGGCTGGTGGCAGCCGACAGCAGCACGGGGGACGGGGACGTGCAGGTGGAGCCAGGGCCCAGGGCCTGCTCCTGCAAGCCTCAGGCTGTAGGGGCCCTGGTGGGGGGACGCCGTGTCCGAGCTCAGCCGTCTTCTCTTTGCGTCTCTTTTGCGTTTGGGGCAAGTGTTCATCTTTTTCTTTTTAAGTGGCTTGAGCGGCACTGTGGTGATGCTCACGTGGTTTCTGTCCCCTGAGCAGAGCGCCACGACGCCCTCTATGTGGTGGGGGCCCTGGATGAGGCCATGGAGCTGCGCGGCATGAGGTACCACCCGATAGACATCGAGACCTCGGTCATCAGAGCACACAAGAGCGTCACAGAATGGTGAGGCGCGGCAGCTGGCCCAAGGCACGGGGTCCTGGGGGTCAGGCTTCCCAGGGGGAGCCACACCTCGAGGGGTCAGGAGCAGCTGGAAGGAGCCCTCCTGGTCATTCGGTGCTTTTCCGGCCGGGCAGCGTTTCCAGGAAGCCATGTTGGCGTTTACTTGGTTTTCTGTTAAGGAAAGCATTCTGTAGGGGAAAACAGACTGCATTCATACATGACAGGCACGGGAAATGCCACATGAGACTGCCCATGTGGGGAGCATAGCCCCAGCGAGCCTGAGGCCCCAGGAGAGGCCGTGTTCCCTGGCGTCACGGGCCGTGGGTGACAAGTCGCCCATCTCAGCCTCCCCTGGGGGCAAGAGGTCTGGGGGGCCTGGTTCACCCCTGGGCTGGGCTCTGTTCCTCCCCTTCCCCGGCCATTTGGCTGGCTGTGATGTGCACGTGGGCCCAGACTGTGGGCCGGCCTGAAGGCTACAGTGTGACCACCTTCTCGGGTCCCTCTTATGCAACGTTTGAGGATGAAAGGTGGCTGCGGTTGTTGGGTACAGGCCTGTTTGCTCCCGTGGTCCCTGAGCCGGCAGAGGCCTGGTGGAGACGGTCTGCACACCAGGGCAGGATCCCGGCAGGGCACCGTCTGAATCTCGGAAGCAGCCTTCCTAGTGGGTGGGCTGGTCCAGGAGCGGGGGCAGCATCTCGTCACTGAATGCAGGCGGGTGCCTGTGGCCACACTGAGCTGCGCACAGGCCTTGTTGGACAGGGGTCCGAGGGGAATGGGCAAGCTTCAGAGCTGGCGGCGACCTGTTTTTCAGAACAGGCAGGCCGGGGCTGGTTTGAAACATGAGCTCCCAGCTGCCAAAGCAGCCTGTCCACCTGAGTGAACGCGGAGACAATGGGAGCCCAGCCCAGAAACGGGCAAGGCGAGGGCCCGCCGCCTCGGTACCTGTCCCGGTAGCTGCAAATACCAGTCACAGCCTCGTGTGCTGTGTTTTTAGGAAAATAAGCCTGACTGGCTTGCATTCCTCCCTCAGGTACTTTCTGTCTAGTTGTAAAAGTGTTATTTCCAGTTTAAAAGTGTGCGGCAGAGGCACCCCTCGTGGGTTCCTTGTGTCTGTTCTGAGTGTCACTGCTGTCCCTGCCGTGAGGCCTCTGCCTCATCTGTTCCCCTGTGGCCCCAGGAGGAACGGAGAGCCATGGTTTTGTTGCGACAGGCTTCAATCCGTTCGTTGGTTTCTGTGCAGCAGAGCTGCTCTGTTGACATTTCCCTCCCACCCCGCCAGTGATGTCTGCGTCAGCTTGTCAGCTCGCGTGGAAAGAAAGTGGCAGTGACAGCCTTTGGCTTCTTGGCAGACCTCCTCCTCTGCACCACGGAATCCAAGCCCATCCAGATGTGGTGCGATGGATTCACGTGCCAGAATAAGGCTGCCCGGGGGGCTGAGAGTGACACGTGTGGGCGCTCGAGGGCGTCCCCATGCCCGGGGCTCGTGTCCTGGGACGGTGCTGGAGCAGCTCTCAGCAGGTCCTTCCCTCGGGTGTACACGCACGTCCCAAAGCTAAGCCCAGAGCGAGGGGTCTGTTGGACACGTTCTGCAGCGTTTACCTGTGTGTAGGGGCCAGGCTGAACAAAATACGTGTCTTCTCCTAGTAGACGTCCTTGCACGCTTCAGAAGTGCTTTCCCAAGTGCTTCCTGCCCGTGAGGAGGAACCTCCTATGTGTCTGGCGAGTGAAAGCAAGTCCCAGTGCCCCTGTGGGGTCCCAGCGCCCCTGTGGGGTGCGGGGCAGGGCCTCTGTGAGGTTCCGTGGCTTTGCAATGTGAAGCGCAGGTCCAGGCTTCTACAAACAGCAGACACGATACTGCCGTGGCCCTCCCACTGAAAGACCCAGGGAGGACACTTCTGGGTGCGTCTCTGACGTCTTCTAGGAGCTATCCCCCACGTGCAGCTTGCCTCGTCCTTAATTCAGTGCTTCAAGCAGTGATCGGTTCCATGCTCTGTGCTTGTGGTGACGGCTGAGCGGTCTGAGCTGGCGTGGCCGGCCTGAGGGCCAGCGTTCACCTCCTGCTGTCTTCTCTTGTGGCACAGGCGAGTCAGCCCCAGCCCCAGCCCCAGCCGTCCCCCCATCCTGCCAACCAGGGCACAGGACAGACTACTTGCGTGCGGACCCGGGAGGGCGGGGCGGGGCTGTGCCAGGGTGATGCCCGAGCCGGCTGGTAGGGGGTGTGGAGACGGTCGGGGGCCAGCAGGCCTGAGGAGGCCCAGTGCTCAGGCAGGTCCGCAAAGAGCCAGGTGGTTGCGAGCCCCCCTGCACAGTGATGGCTTCTTTCTCTCTTCCAGTGCTGTGTTCACCTGGACGAACCTGCTGGTGGTGGTGGTGGAGCTGGACGGGTCCGAGCAGGAAGCCCTGGACCTGGTGCCCCTGGTGACCAACGTGGTGCTGGAGGAGCACTACCTGGTGGTGGGGGTGGTGGTGGTGGTGGACATCGGCGTCATCCCCATCAACTCCCGGGGGGAGAAGCAGCGCATGCACCTGCGGGACGGCTTCCTGGCCGACCAGCTGGACCCCATCTACGTGGCCTACAACATGTAGACTCCCGAGACGCACGCAGGCTCCTGGACCGGAGCCTCAGCCTCGCGCTGGGAGCTCCTAGCGCCCTGGTGGGCACCGGGATGAGACATGGGACGTGAAGTTGGCGCAGAAGGACTTTGCGTTGCTGCCTTCAGTTTGTTGGAAAAGCCCATTTCAAAACTTTTTTTCCTTTTTTTTTTAATTATTGGATAATAAGTGCTTTCTTCGTAAACGTGGTATTTTGTTAAGCCAAAATAGCAATTAAAACATTCTGCCCTCCCGATGGGTTCTTTTAAGCAGTTTATGTAGTGTGACAAAGAATTGTTTTCTCTGTTTTAATGGTCATAATATCTTAATGACATGGACCTGCTACTATTTAAGCCATTGCTAGAGCTCATCCTTCTAGGAAAGTCTGTTGAGGTACGAGTACACCTTCCAATTAGCTTTTAGCAGCTTCCTGTCAGAAACGTGCTGAGGAAACAGGCTGATACGCGGCCTGTGAAGTTAGCATAGAGTGAGACGTTATAAATACGGTGAATTTCGGCAGTTACCTTGCAGATATCTTTGTACTAAACTAAAAAGATAAAATAAGTTAACTTCATATGTAATTATGTACAAAACGTTTAATTTATTTTGATCTCTTTAGAAGTATAACAGAGAAAACATTCAAGAATATTAAAGTCTTGTAATGTTTGCTAATATAAAAAGTGTTGTATTATCTTGCGTGGATAGCATCCCAGCAGATATATATGAAATATAAATTCACTAAGAACAAAGGAGATTTTAAAGTTTAAAACGCAGAGCCTGTCACTTGCATGGTGTCCCTCACTGCACTGTAGATCCAGAGACTCGCCCCCCTGGCTGATGGGAGCGCGAGAGCGGTCCTGCGGCCGGGGCCCAGCCTGTGCGCTCCTCGCAGAGCCAGAGCCCCGCCGGTGAAGGGGCCACCTCTCCCGGTGGGGACTGGCGCTGACTGTGCACCTTCCCTCCGCGCTGGCCTGGGAGGCGGGTGGCGAACAGCACGTTCTCGGCTGCAAGACTCCGTTGTACGATGTTTCCGTCACTCCTGTTACTGTCGCCCTTCTGGTCCTCGGTATGGAAAGGAATGTCACCCTGCGCTGGTGTGTGTTGATTCCCTCAGATGGCCTCTGTGTGGAGTGGACAGTGTCCGCACGGCCAGGTCTCCGCAGCTCCCGAGCCAGTGTGACTGCCGGGGAGCCACTGGCAGGAGCCGGAGGGCCCCGCCGCCCCCTCACCTCCGCCGAGACACGCTCCTCTTGCTGCTGCCGCCGCCGCCTCACACGGCTGTCAGAGCCCCTCGCTCTGGATGCAACTGGCATCTGTGTCCCGCCGAGGAGAGGAATCTGCAGTCCGAGCAAGCCTGACCCTCCGGCTGTCCCGGCGTGACGGCGGGCCGCATGGTGGCAGTGGGCCGTGCGGTGGTCTCTGTCGGCCTTTGCTCTGTGTGCTGGCAGCGAGCCCTTTGTTGCGACGAGTTTTGTTTGACTTCTGAGACCCAAGGCTAGTTGTTGTTGGAAGTTTAAGTGACATTTTTTTTTTAATTTGTCTGCATGTGGGGCGCACCCCTCCATCTCCACAAAGCATTTGAGTTTTAAGACGTTGTTGGGCTTCATTGCTGTGTGTGAATATTTCTCCACATGCTTCAGATACACATTCCTAAAGGCTCTGTTTCCCAAGAGGGTGCCCCGCCACACACAGACGAGACACGTTCACACGCCCACCGAGCGAGAGGGGAGGGTCGAGGTTTCGGATCAGACACCGATGAGGAAACACAGCCGCGGGGGACCCCGCAGTCCAGCGAGGTGGCGTGAGGGCCGTTGGTGACGTCCTGTCATCCTGTCAGCGCTGAGGTCCAGAGGGCCTCAAGTTCTGGGGTTACTGGGATTCGAGTTCTGTTGTGCGAGAAAAAGGGAAGGAGACGCTGAGTACCACCCGCTTCAGCAATAAAGGAGGACCGTCTGTGTGGCAGTTGTGCCGTGGACCAGCCACTCGAGGGAGCGTCACCAGTGTTTGTCTTGTGACCTTGTGCTTCTGATGTCAGACAGAGCCGTGCCGTCGGCCTGCACAGGAGAGGGTGGACAGTGATCTTGGAAGCTCCGACCAGCCCGACAGGCGGTTTCCTCATGGTGCTTGTTTACTGTATCTAATCCTGCTCGACACTTTACCGGAGGGGAACTCCCTTTACCAGGGGCAGGCTGGCAGCGTTGCTGCATAGAGCGTGGTGCCTGGTCAGAGAGGTTCATGCACTCAGCCAATCGCAGTCTCAAACAGAACCCCCATGTGCGAAGGACAGCAGCCTTCTCGTGTGTTAAACGCCAGTGAGCTTTGTGCATCTGTGATGACGCCTGTTTTATATTCAGATGAACAAATAAAAGCTTTTATTTTTGTTGCTCTGAAAATAGCGGTTTCTTAATTGGTCCCCTGGAAAACTGGGCAGCTTCCATCCCAGGAAGGAGGCGACTCCTCCCGGGAAATGTACCTGACTCTGTTTACATAATCTGTTGCGTTACTTATCAGTACAGATGATCACACTTTGAACAATGTTTAAATTTTGATGTGGGCATTTATTGCTAAAAAAATTCCTATGGCAACAAATGTTTTGTGAAATGTTTTTTTTAATTCTTTTAAATATATCTAAATATATTTGTTCACATTTGCTGCAAGTGTACAGCTTATTGGTGACTTGTAGGGACAAAGAGTAAGTGTGAGTCCGGTGTGCAAATCCTTTCTGTCAGCTCTTGGCAAGAAGCTCCCGTGTCGGGACATAGGTCTCGCTGACTGTTCCCACCCAGATTGTCTTTGGTTTTGTCTTGGCTTCGTCTTTTGGAAAGCATTTAACGGGGTTAACGGACTTCCAGCCTAATGGTTAGAAAAGGACGTTTTGTACACATGAAAACTGGTAGAACCGAAGTTCTGTGCACAGATCACCAGGCCTAACCTAAGTGCTTGTATTCAAACTCCTCTTGTCCCCTGCCCCCGACTCCTGTCCCGGCCTGTCCCACACCAATTAGGGGTGTGAAAGGGGGGTCACTGAGTGACTCAGAACACTGCGGACATAGGACTGCCCCGCGTGGCGTGCTTTGGGCAGCGTGTGTGTGTGTGCGCGTGTGTGGTTTCTTCCCTGGCGCTGAGGTCTTGGGGCACAGTCAGGAGTCGGTGGGCTGGTCGATCATCATTCTGGGTCTTACTGTCCTCGCTGACGTCTTGGTGCCCTGAGCCGGGTGGTCTGCCCACCGCGAGGGACCTGGTGACTCTGCTCCTGAGGAGAGAAGTCCTGCTCCCTTAACACCCACGTATTCTGTGACTTGTGGCCTCTACTTAACATCTTCTCGGCAGAACCCACACCCCCGGCCCCCACGGATGGGTTTACCCCGTGCTTTCTCCCTCCCTCAGGCGGGCACACTGGGTCCCGTCCAGCAGTCTACCTCTTACTGTCTTTCAGTTTTTAAGGTTAATCTGTAAACGAAGAAACTCGGAGAGACGGAGAGACCTGGGCGGCTGTGCCGTTCTGGGCAGTGCTCACCCCGGTTGGCTCCCCCGGTTGCTGTGGTCTCGGTGACCCCTTGGTTCCTCCCCACCGGGCTGGGACCCTCGAGGGTGGAGGGGTGTGGCCTGCACCTGGGCTGGCACACAGCTGGCCCCCTCTGCAGCTGGGCCAGTGGCCTCCCCAGTGGCCATCGTGCTGGAAGGCAGGCCTGGAGGAGCCGGAGACCCAGGAGGGGCTGGCAGGGCTCAGGAGAAGAGTAGAAAGTGAAGCGAGAAGGCAGGCGGTGCTGGCGGCCTATGCACAGGGAGGGAGGCCTGGTCTTGGCCCTGCTGCTGGGTTGCTCTGTTCTCTGATGTCATGCTGACGTGTGGTGACCGTCCCTGCACCGTCTGGCCTCTGGCCGGGGGCTGGGGGACCGGTGGGGAACAGGGTGTGTGTTATCTGCCTGCCTCACATGGTGCCTGGCCCAGGGCGGGCGTTCAGGAGATGCAAGTAAGGGACCTGGGGCGCTGGGACCAGAGGGCAGGTGTCCCCCGAGCACCATGGTCCCCATAGCTCTCCCCGGGCCGAGCCCCGGAGGATGTGGTCAGAGCCCGCACCCCAGCTGGTGCCCAAGGAAGGACGAATGGACCCAGAGCTGGCGTGACCCTGCCTGCCGGAGGAACGTTGTCCAGTGGCCAGACGCACCTGCGCCTCGTCGGGTCACCCTCAGGAGACTGACGTAGACTCACAGGGAGGGGACAGGGACCCTGCCCTGCCCACCGTCAGACAGGCCTCCCGCAGGGCCGGCGGCATCAAGGGTGTTGGAGCTGGAGAGCATGCGCCAGCTGTGCACCTCCGGCTGGTGCAAGCCAGCAGCAGCCTCTCTGAGACAAGAGCTCTCCCCGCTTGTCAGACCCGTGCGACTTGTGTGATCACTGCGGGGTGTCCTGGATGGAAACCGGGGCCGTGCGCCACCAGCCCACTGTTCCTGGAGGTGGGACGGGGGCTGGGTGATGGGCTTTGGGGTTCGTTCGGTTAAGAGTGCATGAGGGCAGGTAACAGGGCGTGTGAGGGCTCAACCAGATCATCACCAGCCTGCTGAGGCCAGGGTGACAGATGTGTATGAAGGGCCAGGTGGCTTCTGTCTGAATCACTCAGTTCTGTTGCTGTGACGCAGGCGCAGCCCTCAGATAAGTGAGCAAGGATCTGGTCGTGTAGAACCTTACTTGTGGGCACAGAAGTGGGAGCTTCGTGTAATTTTCCCCTTGTGAAATGTCATTCTATGGATTTCTCAAACAGTTTGGAAGTGTAAATGCTATTTTTAGCTTGCGGGCTCTATAAAAATAGGTAGTAGCTGGATTTGGCCAGATCTGGGCTTGTAGTTTGCTGGCTCCTGTTCTGAGACACACAAGGAGAAAGGCAAACTTTGGAGAATTAACTTCTGACGCTGACTTTCTTTTCAAAAAGAATTGGTTTGAGTCTGATAGTTTGAGCTTTAAATTTTTAAATTTTTCAACTTCTGTCTCGTCCGTTTATTCAGTCAACAAGTATTTGAGCACCAACCTGGGTAGTTGCTGGGATGAACTGGGCGAGGCGTCCACTCCTCGTCTGGGTTCGTGTCCAGCAAGGGCAGTGAGGCCTGAGCAGGCCTCCGGCTCCGAGCCAGAGGCTGGGGCTTAGTCCTGGTCTCACGTCAGCTTTCCTGTCCCCGTGAAGAGGGGTTGAGACAAGGCGACCCCAAAGACCTCACTTCCCTGCGCACACTGTTCTCCAGACTAACCTTCCGGCAGAATGTGACTGTGAGGCCAGCAACCCGTTTACCTGCCGTGACCAGCCTGCCTCCAGGCGCAGCAGCGGGCTGTGCGGGTAGGACCAGCTTGTGTGCCCCTCACGGGGTGGGGGCGGGGGCGCCTCGGGGGTCAGGGCGTCGCTCTGCCATCTACCCTGTCAGGCTGCTGGGGTCTCAAAAAGTCAAGGCGACAGGCGCAGCCTCTCCCTCCTCCCCGTGTGACGTCAGAGGAGGGGTTTCTGGCGTCCTGGCCCAAACAGGATAACCCGGTGCTCCAATTTCCTGAAGTCGACACCAAAGTCCCCAGGATGCCCGGATTCTTTTTAAACAGAATTGTCCTTAGTGCCTGACTGATCATCCATCAGGAGAGGCCAGCACGTTTGCTCTTAGTTTCTAACTAGCAAAAGCTGCGAGATGTGAGGAAAAACACTGCAGCAGCTATTTAGAGAACCCCTAGTTCTCTGTAATGTGAGTGATTAAACCCTCCATTTGGTCTGTTTAGAGTCCAAGTCAAATATTCAGGTGTCAACATGTTAATAGATGTTTCGTTCGTCGTGTGACAGGACGGCCTGCGGAGGACGGTTTGCCGCAGGGAGGGCCTTCTCCCCGTGGCCACCTCTGTTTTCCAGACGTCTCTGTTCCAGGAAACATCCTAGCACCTGTTTGTCCGCGGAACAAGGATGACAAGTCCATTTGGTGACCTTTAAGGAGCGCCCGCTGTGTTGGCAGCACGTGACTGGGGAGGGGCAGGGTCCAGGAGGCACGGGGCCTGATGGAGCTGGTGGTAGACAGCGCGGGGTCTGGTGCCGTCAGGAGCGTCACGCCTGGAGGAGGGAGGAAGCATCCCAGCCACTTGCGCACGCCCCCACCGCTGATGGTCTGGGCTGCTGGGAAAACCCAAATCGGCATTTTGAAGAAGATGTCACGTTTGGAACAGGTGATCCAGTCACGTGGTCCCAGCACGGACGTCACGCTTCCAGTCTTGTCCCTGCCCCCAGCCCCATCCGTGCCAGGCCACCACTTCTGCCGGTTGCTGCTGTGTCTCTGTGTGGACACAAGCCAGTTCGGACCTTCCCCTCCTTCTAACCCAAAGGAAGCCTGCCGTGTGCTCGGTTCTTCAACGGTTATCACAGAGAGTGGCTGTTTTCAAAAAGGCAGCACAGTCTTCCTTCTGCCCTGACTCCATTCCTGTTGGTGGAACTTGGCCTTTTTCCAGTCGCGTTTTGTTACAACCAAAGCAGTGCATTCCCTGTGTGGGCAGGCGTGTCTGATGCACAGCCTTCCGGACGTGGGCTGGTGAGTCGGGAGCCGTGTCCGTCACTCGCAGGTGTGGCCAGGGCGTCCACGTCCATCTTTCACTTGCCCCTTAAACTATGAACTTGTCAGGAAATACTGTGAATGATTTTTAAAAGCAAAAAAAAAATTATCGGATGTCCTGTCCAGCTCACCTGTCCGGGTTCTCTGCCTTTCACTGGCTTCGAGCTACTTTGCAACCTGTCAGCTGCAGAAAGCTGACAGTAATACGAGTTGTTCTTGCCCGCAGGACTGCGGGTTGTCCCCCTGTGGGCAGACCTCTTTCCCTCCGCTGGTAACTTCGCCTCAGAGTTCCTTGTTCTCTGTGTCTGGGGTGTTCTTAGAACCCTCCTCTGCACCAGCCGTGACGCCCTGCCTCCTCCCTGGGGGCGGAGTGTGCGCTTCGGTGCGTGTCTGCTGTGTGTCTGTCTGGGAGTCGTGGTGGCTGTGCCTCTGGCTTTGTCCGCTCCCTCTTGACGGCTGTGACTGCTGGTGAGGGAGATCGGCCCTTTGCGACGCGCTGAGGTGTGTCTTCCCGTTCTGCCCCTCTTCCTCACACTTGCTTGTTTGCCGTGCTGAGCTCTTGCGAGCGTTTTCATTTTCACGTGGCTGAATTTATCCCCCTTGTGTGGCTCTCGAGACTGCCTGGTTTGGGCACACGTGGCTTTTCTTGCTTAGCCGAGCTTTCCGTCTCTCAGCAGATTTCCGGGGCCTGAGACGAGTGAGGGCCTGAGAGCGTCATTCTGGTGTGTGTGTCACACTGGGTTCTGGCACTTTCCTTGTCCTACTTAATAGTGCCAGCCCAGGGAAGATTCTGCTTTGACCTCTGATTGTGCGTAAAACTATTT